CCATCACTTCTTTGTTACACAGAAGCAAGTAATGTTTCCATGAGTACATACCTATGTCATTCCTTTCTTATTCTTTGGTATTCCAGTGATTAATACTTAATTCTTTCCTGTTTTTCTCTTGAGTATGGCTTTCTTTTACATCCTACAAGTGCCTGACTGTGCATATAGTAGTGACTTGCTTATGATAAATATCAAATAAAAAGACTTAGAATTCAAATGATCTGTTTACAAATGCATGCTCTTGTTGTGGTCATGTTGAGTCAGTCCTTTTTAAAGTCACATTCCTTAGAAACATTTTGCTTTCAGGAAGTCTTCTTGCTTCTTTGATGTCACCATTGGAACCATCACAAGGATATGCACAAGTAATGATTAAGTTCATTGTTTGTGTATATGAATGAATAGTACAGGACATTTTTTTTTAAATGTAAACTCTTAAAGAGGCCAATATGATTTAAGTTTACTAAGTTAAGTAGTCAGTGAATTAATGTATTTATATCTCATTTTGTACCAAAAAGTGTTTAAGGCAGCTCAGGTTAGTAACTTTTATAAATTATGACATAATTTGTGAGGAACTCACATGATAGCTGTTTTGGATCCTTCAAAATATATTCCAGAGAAAAGACATCTATTGCAACATGAGAGTGTTATTTTGAATGAATTTGAGTTCTTACACATTCTACACAGAATCGAGAAATATAAAATCTTATTATATATCAAAATATGCACGTTCACACTGAGTGAGATTTATCCTTTCATTTAGTCTGGATTATTTCCTTCATTTTATACATTTCTGATTCCTGACAGAAGGCTTGTTTTTCTTTTTCTCTAATACTTAAGCTTCTTATCCCACATTACGGTATATGTGTTTGGACATGCCCCAGACAGAGTAGATTATTCATGGAAGTAAAATAGAACCTTTTCAACATGAACTTATAAATACTTTCCTAAGTCAGGGTTATGCTCTCCTTTTCTTCCACTTTCTTCAAAAAAAAAAAAAAAAGCAAAACAAAATGAAAACAGATGATAGTACTACTACCTTATAAAGACAAAATTTAATTATGAAAAAAAAACCTAAAGAAAAAAATAGAAGAATCAGAGAAAACTATTCTTCTTTGACTCATTTAATCATTTTACAAATCCCTTCTTTTGTCTTTTGTGAGCCTGAATAAAAAGCAAATGAGAAAATGTAGAAAGAGATTAAATGTAATAAAGCAAGCTAGGAAAAATTTATGTAATTATTTCATACCTCTTTAAGACTTCTAAATTTTTCAAACAACCAAAAGAAAGATAATAATGATAATGATAATAATAATAATAATAATAATAATAATCATACACTAAAAATCTAACATGTTCAGCTTTCAGTGTTGTTTCTCTTGGACAGAGTTTAGCCATTTTTCAGATTGTGAACATGTTTTATTGTTCTATGCACTTAGTTGACTTTACAGTTTTAGGAAGTAATGAAGCAGTTAGAAGAAAGCAATTTTGTGGTGCCATAGTATAAAATTAAGCATATATATATATTTTTTTATTTTTAATATCTTAGAATAAACAATTTTTGCATGAAATCTGTTTATCACAATTTGGGTTTCAGTCTCATCGTACTCTGGATCCTGCGTTTTCAGAAATGTAACTACCTTATAAACTTGACCTCAGAGATAATGTTGCTGATGTTAAATTCAGCCTGCAGTGGTTGCACATTTATGATTAAAGCCATTTTATCATCCATAGCATTATCTGCAAATGAGAAGATTTAAATATTTGCTTCATATAAAATGCATCATAAATATTGCATTTTTAGATATTATCTCCTAATAATCTACAACCGGACATAGACAAGCACACACACATTATAAGACATATGCATACATAGATATATAGTGCAATGTATATGCGTGTACACATACAACACACGTGCACATCCCTGCATACACACACATAAATGCTCACACACACAGTCACCATAAAATACTCTAATCTAAATCTGTGTGTTGGATTGGCCACTTAAAAGAAAAGACAGCCTTGATTTTTAACAGTGATTTTTGGACTTCAGCATGCTTTAAAATAGTAATGATAAGAGAAGAAAAACTTCACCTCATCTATAAAGTGTGACCACAGCTTGATCAATCTTATTCTTTTAAGTCACAAATTTCAAAGCAGACTTTATGATTTGAAGAGATTGAGGTTGAGAGAAACTCCAGGACATGAAAAGCTAGAACATTTTCTGCCTGTTTTATTTGTATGGTGATGGTAGGGACAAAACAGTGCTAGTTGGAAGGAGTTTTAGAGTAGGTTTATAAAGTATTTGAAGTTTCTTTAAATATTTAAGCATAAACTTTTAATGCCAGAATATAAACAGTGAAGAGATAAATATTACACCAAACTTCAGAATCTGAGTTACATTTGAACTCATACATCTCTATTTTAGAAATATTTGCATATATATATATACACTTGAACCAACATAAACATGAGAGAAATTATAATTACTTTTCAAAATGGAAATAATTTTATTTTTCTGATTATAATAGCATTTTTATCATTGTTAGAAACCAAAACAGTAGAAAAATGTTTGGTAGATAGGTAATGAAACATTTTCATATATAAATTGGTTCATACCATATATATTTAAATACTGTTCAGCCATCTATGCCTTTTACTTAATATATTCTGAGGATCTTCCATATCAGTATATAGAGCTCTTCCTTATTCTTTTTCAAGTCTGTGTATAAAAGTACTTATTGAGTAAGTGCTGTATTAATGGTAATTTAATTTATTTTCTAGTTTTCATGTCGATGCTTCCATGATGTGAATCTTTGTTCATAAGTCATTTTACACTGTGCAATTACTTCCTTGGGCTAAATGCTCATAAGTGGAAATGCTGTGTAAATGAGGTTACAGATAATAAATTTGGTTAGATATTGCTACATCACCTTTCAAAAATAGTGGATTGGTTTGCACTTGTCCTAAATGATGTTTGATAAGGAATATTGCACTGCTCTTTACAACACTGAATATTATCCATGGTCTTTGGTGATCTGAAATATGAAAATGAGGCCTTTTAAATTTACCTTTTTTGGTTGACATTGAGTCTCTTTTTATGTGTTGACTAATCATTTATATTTCTCCTCTTGAAAATTAGATAGTTATGAGCTTTAAACATTTTCAATTCTGGATTTGAAAGGTCTCATGACAAATTAAATACATCACATTTTTCTCTTAAATATATTATGTATAACTTTCCATCTATAAGTAATTTAAAAAATTTATCTTTTGATAAACAAACATTTTATGTTTTTATCTAGTTAGATGGATACACTGTTATTTTTCTTTTTATATTTATGATCTTGGCATGGTCTTAGTCTTTTTCTTCTAGTACTTTAAAACTATACTGAGATTTTTTATCCATCTGTAAGTTTTGGTATAGCATAATTTTTGAAAAATCTTCAGTTAATTAGGATATTGATCAAGCATAACTTACTGAATAATCTGTCTCTTCTCACTGACTTTAGGTATATGAAATATTTCAGCTAAATAGCAAAAAAGTGCCAGATTCTATTTCTCAATCAACATAGTTTAATTATCACCACCACCCTGTAAAGTTTAATTATCACAATTTTTCAGATTAATATATAAATATTCAGAATGTTGAATAATATTCTCAAAGTTTGGAACTATTAAAATCACATTCAGAATTTCAACCCAATGTGTATCTAATTTCAAAATTTATACTCTTCATTTCACCATGATTCCTCTCCAAATAAGGAGAAAGTAATGGATGTACACAAGAAAATCTGTTGATTTACTGAAGTATACCCTATATAGCATAACGATCAAGAGAACACTCTAGAGCCAATAGTCTGGATTTTAATCTCAGCAAAACTATTTCCTAGGAGCTTGGCCTTTGGTAAGCTACTTAACATCTCTGTACCTCAGTTTTATCATTTGTAAAACAGGTGTAATAAAAATGCTCACTTCGTTGAATACCTGGCTCAAAATAAGTGCTATACATGGTTAACTGTAACTATTATAGTGCAGTCAAGTTCTTTCCTAGTAGAGATATTGTATAGTGTACATAAACCTATAACCACATTATTTGGTGTGGAGATTCAATATTTAACTTTTACTTAATGAAAAGTTCCTTTTGGGGGAACAAAAAAACAAGGAGAAATATTGAGGGTCTTCTTTCTTTTAGGTAGATGAAAACTTCACATCATCAAGGTGGTGAATTATAAATTTGCAAGTAACATGTCAACTGGTGATAGGCATAAAAGAAATAAGAATAATTATTAATAGGAGCCTAGACATTTAAGAATTTAAAAACAACCTCCCGAGATCTTAAATGAGTAAAACAGTTTATGCTTGAGACTCCTTTAAA